ATGGTACTGGCACAAAAACAGAAATATAAATCAACGGTACAGGATAGAAAGCCCAGAGATAAACCCACGTACCTATGGTCACCTAATCTATGACAAAGGAGGCAAGAATATACAATGAAGACAAGACAGTCTCTTCAATAAATGGTGCTGGGAAGACTGGGCAACTACATGTAAAATAATGAAATTAGAACACTACCTAACACCATACACAAAAATAAACTCAAAATGGATTAAAGGGGCTTCCCTGGTGGCACAGTGGTTGAGAGTCCGCCTGCCGATGCAGGGGACACAGGTTCGTGCCCCGGTCTGGGAGGATCCCACATGCCGCGGAGCAGCTGGGCCCATGAGCCATGGCCGCTGAGCCTACACGTCCAGAGCCTGTGCTCCGCAGCGGGAGAGGCCACAACAGTGAGAGGCCCGCGTACAGGGGGGAAAAAAATGGATTAAAGACCTAAATGTAGGGACTTCCCTGGTGGCGCAGTCGTTGAGAATCCGCCTGCCAATGCAGGGGACACAAGTTCAATCCCTGGTCCGGAAAGATCCCACATGCCGCAGAGCAACTGGGCGCATGCGCCACAACTGTTGAGCCTGCACTCTGGAGCCGCCGAGCCACAACTACTGAAGCCTGCACGCCTAGAGCCCGTGCTCCATAGCAAGAGAAACCACTGCAGTGAGAAGCCCGTGCACCGCAATGAAGAGTAGCCCTTACTCGCTGCAACTAGAGAAAGCCTGCATGCAGCAATAAAGACCCAATGCAGCTAAAAATAAATAAATAAATAAAATTTTTTAAAAAGACCAAATGTGAGACCAGACACCATAAAACTCTTAGAGGAAAACACAGGAAAAACACTCTTTGACAAAAATCACAGCAAAATCTTTTATGACCCACCTCCTAGAGTAATGAAAATAAAAAAAATAAATAAACAAATGGGACCTAATGAAACTTAAAGGCTTTTGCACAGCAAAGGAAACCATAAACAAGACGAATAGACAACCCACAGAATGGGAGAAAATATTTGCAAATGAAGCAAGAGAAAGGATTAATCTCCAAAATATATAAACAGCTCATGCAGCTTAATATCAAAAAAACGAACAACCTAATCAAAAAATGGGCAGAAGACCTCAATAGACAGTTCAGCAAAGAAGATATACAGATGGCCAAGAGGCACATGAAAATATGCTCAACAACACTAATTATTAGAGAAATACAAATCAAAACTATAGTGAGGTATCACCTCATACCAGTCCAAATGGCCATCATCAAAAAATCTACAAACAAGATTCATGGGCATTGCTTGATGCTCAGGAATTTCAAAAGAATAAGATTAGATGATCGATGACAAGGATTTCTGCAGAAGAGCTATGCAAATAGACCTCTCAGAATGGGCACAGGGGTGGAAGATGAAATCTATCCCATGCAAAGTCTCACCAAAGGCTATTCAGAGCAGAGGAATCTCAATAATCAAATGGACAGAATGGCCCATTCTACAGATGTTGAGAATATCCCTAACCATCTGCTGCTTGTGCAATGGGTTCATGAACAAAGAGAATCTAATGTATAAGATGAAGGTCATTCATGGGCTGAATCACATGGACTTCCCCCAACCAACATGATCTGGTTAATACAACTCCTGAGGGCCCAAACTGCCAACAGCAGAGCCCAATACTGTGTATCTTCCCTGGTACTGCAAACCAGCCAGCTATGTGGAGAAGGATGACTATTTGTGGCTTCCTTCCATCATTGTGAGGCTGCGACACCTACACAGGCATGAACTTTATTCTGAATTTGCATATGATATCCCTGCCTGTCCGCAAATTTACAAATTACTTTAATGCCCAATAATGCACTCCAAAACAATGGCTAAATCTCTTCCTAAAAAAGTGAAACATGGACCGTTGCCTATGGAATTCACTGGCCTATAACACAGAAGCAGCTGCTCTTATAAAATGAATGATAAACTGGACAACTGAAGACCCAATTTAGGAAACAGCAGGGAAATGACTTTTAGAGTTTGGAGTGCTGTCCTACAAAATAATGTTTAAGCTCTGAATCCAAAACAAATTTATATTTTGTTTCTCCCTTACCAGAATACAAGGGTCCTGGAATCACGGGATGGCATGAGAAAGAAAGGAGGCATGGTCCATTATATTAATTGACACCAAATCACAGACTGTACCTAATGTCTATTCTGCTCAAATGATCAGAGACTTGAGATGCACAAGATTTGAGGACACTTGCCAAAGAGATTTGGGGAAGAGATGTGGATAAGATCAACTAAGAAGACACCCAGAGCGTGAGAATATTTGCAGCCCTTGTAAATCTCACCAAAAAGGCCGGAATTGTAGGGAAGGCTCTCTTATGAACTATTCCAAACATAAAATGGTGCCATAAAAATATAATAAAAACCTGTGTTGGGCTTCCCTGGTGGCGCAGTGGTTGAGAGTCCGCCTGCCGATGCAGGGAACAGGGGTTCGTGTCCCGGTCTGGGAAGATCCCACATGCCGCGGAGCAGCTGGGCCCGTGAGCCATGGCCACTGAGCCTGCGCGTCTGGAGTCTGTGCTCTGCAGTGGGAGAGGCCACAACAGTGAGAGGCCCGCGTACCACAAAACAAACAAAACAGTACCAGTACTATTTAAGGTCCCTGGGTAACCTTCCATGATCTCGCCATCCTTACTCTCTATACCCCCTCCGAGATGTAACCACTGCCCTGAATTTTGTTTTTTATGTTCCCATTCATAAGTTTATTACACATGTACATATCAACAAAAAACATGTCAATTTTCATATTTTTCCATTTTATATACACGGGAGCATACTATCTGGATTCTTCAGCAACTTATTTATTTTTTGCTCAAGATTACGAAAAGCATCCATATTTAATTTTCAATAATGTATAATTGTCTAATGAGTGAGTTTATTATGATTGTAGTTAGCAAATACCTTTTGAGTATTATATAAGTTGTTTCTAAATGTCTTTTTGCTATTATAAATAATTCTGTAATTTTTGTGCCTGTATTCTTGTACATTGAGTTTATCTTGAGTTTTCTGTTTAAGCAATTATATTGTTTGAATAAAAAAACTCATTTATGAAAAAAAAACCCTACAAACAATAAATGCTGGAGAGGGTGTGGAGAAAAGGGAACCCTCTTACACTGTTGGTAGGAATATAAATTGTTACAGCCACTGTGGAGAACAGTATGGAGGTTCCTTAAAAAACTAAAAATAGAACTACCATATGACCCAGCAATCCCACTACTGGGCATATACCCTGAGAAAACCATAATTCAAAAAGACACATGCACCCCAATGTTCATTGGAGCTCTATTTACAATAGCCAGGACATGGAAGCAACGTAAGTGTCCATTGACAGATGAATGGATAAAGAAGATGTGGTACATATATATAATGGAATACTACTCAGGCATAGAAAGAAATGAAATTGAGTCATTTGTAGAGATGTGGATGGACCTAGAGTCTGTCGTACAGAGTGAAGTAAGTCAGAAAGAGAAAAACAAATATATATTAACGCATATATGTGGAATCTAGGAAAATGGTACAGACGCACCTATTTACAGAGCAGGAATAGAAAGGCAGACGTAGAGAACGGACGTGTGGACACGGCGGGTGGGGAAGGGGAGGGTGGGATGAATTGGAAGATTAGGTTTGACATAAATACACTACCATGTGTAAAATAGATAGCTAGTGGGAACCTGCTGTATAGCAGAGGCAGCTCAGCTCGGTGCTCTGTGATGGTCTACTTGGGTGGGATGTGGGGGGAGGGAGGTCCAAGAGGGAGGGGATGTGTGTATGCGTATGGCTGATTCACTTCACTGTGCAGCAGAAACTAACACAACATTGTAAAGCAATTATACTCCAATCAAAAAAAACCCAAAACCCTGCATGTCTGTCTCCACTCCATCCCTTTCCCTTTTCTCAGAGGTAACCACTCCCCTGAATATTACATTTATCATTTCCTTTTCTTTTTAATCTGACCACGCATGTCTTTATCTCCGAACCATATACTGTTTAATTTTGCATGTTTGTGAGCTTTAGGTAAATAGAATTATTCTGTATTTTTCCAAGATTTGCTTTTTCATTCAGCATTTTCGTTGCTATAGTTTCCATTGTATGAATCAACCACAAACTCCACTTTTGTTGGCCATAAAGTCTGTTTCCAGTTTTTTGCTAGTTACAAACAGTGCTATTATGAATATTCTTTTTTTAATATTCTTGTATGTGTATCCTGATGCGGTCAGTGAGTTCTCCTAGGTTTATCTAGGAGAGGTTTGGTGGGTCACAGTGATGCATGTCTTAAGCTTTACTAGACGATGCCGAATTGTTTTCCAAGGTGATTGTATCAGTCATAACAATTTGCAATCCCAACAGTAATATTTCAATTGTTAGACATCTTCACCAATACATGATGCTTACACATTTTTATTTTTTGCAAACCTGTAAAGCAGTATCTCACTGGTTTAATATGCATTTCTGGGATCTCTAATGATATTGAACATCATGTTATAAGTTTATTGGCCATCTCCACTCTCTCTTTTGAAAAGTGCCTATTTGAGTCATTTGCCCATGTTTCTTCTATTGATTTATCTTTTTCTCCCTAATTTGTAAGAGTTCTTTATATGTCCTCGGCATTAATCGTTTGTCAGTTTAACAAATCGTTTGTTAATCTTGAACATGTCTTATCTCTCTAGCTAAACTGTTAGTCCTGGAGGTTGAGGATAGGTATAGAGAGTACAGAAAAATAAATTAGACCAGTAAGGATCCTTTAGGATTACAACTTCCTATTTCCCTTATACCTTTCTCCACATGGGTCAAAGTGCTGGAGGCACAGAGCGTACCCTTCAGTGAAGTGAAGATTTTTCAAGAGCCTGGGAGGGAAGGTTACAAGCTCCAAGTATTTTATTTTTTTATTGGGGTATAGTTGTTTTACAATGTTGTGTTAGTTTCTACTGTACATTGAAGTTCCCTGTGCTAAATAGCAGGTTCTTGTTAGTTATCTATTTTATACATATTAATGTATGTATGTCAATCCCAGTCTCCCAATTCATCCCACTGTCTTGCTTTCTTTTTAAAGAACCAATCACAGCAAGGCAGATAAAGAATGTTCAGTTGTCAGACTTTGATACATTCAGATGAAGGCGTAGACGCGTGGAGGTGAACTCGCTGCACTCTCTTTGGTGGCTGGTGCGCAGAAGTTTCTTTGGCCCCCAGGTGTTGCCTTATGAGCTCTTACACGTGCGCTGAGTCTCTCCAGCTTCGCCGGAAACTCTCTGAACCGACGGCCAGATTCCGTTGGTTTAAGTCTCTCCAGGCCTGGCACTCAGCCAAGCGCTCAGTTCCTTTACAGATTTACCTACAAGGCCACAGAAATGCACGGTTCCGCCGCTGTACTAGGAATTACGGTCGGGAAGGCGGGAAAGCGCAGTGCACCCGAGGGGTCCCCTGCCTGTCTCCCGCGCGCTGAAGTAATCTCTGGAGAACGTGTCTTGAGGCCGGGAAGTGGGGATCCGCTAAACATTTTAGAGGTCTTCCGCGGGTGGGGTGGGCAGGAGCTTGGGAGGCCTCAGTGGGGTAGCCGTTTGCACCCTGCTCTGCTTCCCAGGGGAGGGGGCGGGGACCAGGAGGACTTTGGAACCTGTTATCAAAGGTGTTGCAGTAACAGGGCGCAAAGTCAACACGCGCGCAGGGCGCCACGGCCCGCCGCAGCCGGCAGAGCCCGGCGGGCCACCCCGGTCTCCGGTCCGGGGCTGGGGGAGCGACACCCCGCCCTCCCCCGCGCCCAACACAGATACCGCTTCGCCTCCGGACTACCCGCGGAAGCGTCGGCGGAAACCAAGTGTCTCAGGGCGCTGCCCTAGCGCTGGGGGCGGGTCTCGAATCGTCGAGCTCCGGGGCGTGTCACGGGCGCCAGCTTCTGATTGGCCGGCCGAGGCGGTAACGGGCCAGGAGCTGCCGGATTGGCGCAGCCGGAGGCCAGAGCAGGAGTAACTGGACTCCAGGTGGCCGGTCGCAGTCCCGGAGCCCGAGGGGCTGGCGTCTGCGCCGGGCCCAAAGTCTAGGGAGAGATCCTGACCGGGACGCGCTCACCATGCCCTACCTGCTCATCAGCACCCAGATCCGCATGGTGAGTACCCGCTGGCCATCCCTGGGAGTTGGCGTTCGGCCCGGGTCAGGGGTCGGGGGGCGCTGCAGACCGCATCTCGGCGCCTCCCTCCCGGGCGACGCCCGCGCGTGGCCGGACCCGGAAGCCGCCCGGAACACGCCCCCCTGGGCGGCCGGGAGGGAGGCTGGGTCTTGGACTTAGCCTGGATCCAGGGACTCAGAGAGCTCTGGCAGCCCGGCGACTCCAGCGCCGCGAAGGGGGCCAGGTGAGTGCGTCCCCACCACCCAGCGAGCTCCGGGCGCCTGTGGCTCCGGTCCTACCTGCCTGCGGGAGGTCGGGAGCCTTCGGGAGGGACCCAGGAAGTCCTGGTCTCACATGTGCAGCACCCACTGCCCCACACAGAGCCACTCTGCCAGGGAGTGGGGAGTGGGAGTGGCCTAACCTGAGGGAGAGAGGTTTGTTAAAGGATGTGCTAAGACGCCAAGACCCCTGTGCCGAGTGGCCCACTAGCTACACCCTTAGGCACTTCCAGGAAGAGCTCTCCTGAGACCTTAGAAAAGGAAGAGAAGAAAGAACCCGAGACAGCCCATGGGGTTAGAGATGGGAGAACACCATTCAACAGTCAGAAACCACGCCCCTTTCCCTGGGCGCAGTTTCCTCTGCAAAAAGAAGGTGCTGGTTGCTCCATGAGTCCCCATCTGGCTTCAGAATAATATGACCGGGTTCCCAACCTGGGTAGCAGGATGCTCCTCTGCCCCTTCCCACTCCCCAGTGCTTGGGTGATCCATCAGAGGGTACACAGCTCCCTTGGGATGCAGGAAATAACAGATGGGCTCACCACTGGGCAGGAGAGGTCTCGGCAGTGCCACAGGGCAGTGGTTTAAGAACCAGTCAGCTGTGCAGTTGTTAAAATGTAGACTCCTGGACCCCTTCCCAGACCTCCGGAAGCACTCTGGAAGCCTGAGGCTTGGGAATTCAGTGCTCCTCAAGCAACTTAAAAAAATAAGTTTCATTGATATATTACACATATCACGACAGAATTCATCAAAGTGTACAATTCAATGGTGATGGGGTTTTTGTTTTTGTTTTTTAGCTTGCTCAGAGTTGTGCATCCATCACCATAGGCAATTTTAGAACATTTCTATCACCGTAAAAAGAAACCCTGTACTCATACCCTGTCCTTAGCAGTCACTCATTTCCCCCGGGCCCCTCAGCCCTAGGTAACCACCCGTCTACTTTTCATTGTAATATGTGGTCTTTGGCCTCTTTCACTTACGTGATGTTTTCAAGGTTCATCCATATTGTAGCACACATCAATACTCGTTCCTTTTTATTGTCAAATAAAATTCCATTGAATGGCTATACCACATTTTATTTATCCACTGATCAGTTGACAAACATTTAGGTTGTTTCCACTTTCTGGTTATTATGAATAATGCTACTGTGAACATTTGTGTGCAAGTTTTTGTGTGGACATGTTCTCATTTCTCTGTTCTCCAGGTTATTCTGATACACAGATATAGGTGGTGGTGCCTGGCGTGAAGGTCCCAGTAGTTGGGCATTGCCCAGCCCGGCCTAGAGGGTGCAGGGAGGCCCCACATGACTCAGCCTGATCACTGATGGACTCCACCCCTTCCCAGCTTGTGTTTAGCCCCCAAGATTCCTTTCCTCTCCTTCCAGTCTTTAACTGAAGCGGGCTCAGAGCCAGCAGGCGGGGGAGGAAGGAGAGGCGAGACAGCTCACCTCTACCTGGCAGCCAGCCAAGCAGCCACTGTGACTTACCTTGCAGGAGGTGGGCCCCACCATGGTGGGCGATGAGCACTCCGATCCAGAACTGATGCGGCATCTGGGGGCCTCAAAAAGAAGTGTCCTGGGAAACAATTTGTAAGTAGTAGCATTCCTAAGGATCTTCTCCTTGCCAGCCCCTAGACCTGTCTCTGTTCCTTTTACACAACAGGACAATGCCACTGCCTAGCCTCAGGACCCCTCTGCCTGCATCCTGGGGATCTGTCCTCTGTAGGCTTTCTCTGAGAGCTTTCCCACTGGCCCTCCCTTCACAAGGGAGCCCCTGGACAAAGTCCCAGGACAGAGTCTGGTTCCCTGAGTATAGGACTCTGCAAGTGGACTGCTCCTTGCCCTGCCCTCTCATCTCTAAACTGGATCCCATCAAGGCAAAGACAAGCACAGAGAAAGGCTTCTGTCTTGAAGAGATGGCTAAGTAACAAAGCTCAGCCCTAGAAACAGGGAGAAGGGAGCCTGGGTCCTGCTTCCAGTTCAGCTGCTGCCTGGGGACTTAGCCACTTCCCTTGGCATCCTTCACACCAGCCCCAAGTCTAAACAGTGATTCATGCTTCCTTTTCTGCCCTTCACCCCTTCCTGCCGTAGGCAGGGAGAACTCTGGCTACACAGGCTCAAACTCCTGAGAAGGGTCACCAGAGTGCACCCCAGTTAGAAGAAGGGAAAGAGGAGGCGAGCTGGCCGTAGCCCCCTGGTCAGGGTTGGAGGGCAGAAGCCAACGCCATCCCTTTGCCATAAGGCTTTTGTCTCTCAGATGCCCAGCCTGGGGCTTCAGCCCTTTATCTACTTGATGGCCCTTCAGAATTAATTAACTCTGAAAGAAGGGAAACCAGGCATTCTCCATCCTAGGGAGTGGCACTCAGAGCCAGGAGCTCTTGGGGGCCCAACTTATTGCTCCACGACTACAGGACAGCCAGGCAGCAAGAGGGCAGAGGCCTGGGGGAGGGTCCCAGGGAAAGCAGGCCGCTCCTGCTGAATGGGCAGTGGCCTAGGGCACATGGAGCTGTTGTCAGACTCATGCCGGTTCTACTCTCTGGATGACATCGGGAAAGCTGCTTTACTCCTCTCTTTTCTCACTTATAAAATGGGAACAATAACAGTACCTTCCTTAGGTTGTTGGGAGGAATAAATGAGATGATGCAAAGAGCTTAGTAGACGAGGGGCAGGGAATGTGTACTCAGCCCGGCACCCAGAAGGCACCCAGCAAACGTCAGTCCCTGTTAGGAGTACTCCTGACCAGGCCTAGTCTGCAGCAGATACTAGCTTGGTACGGGCTGTGCTGTGTACCCCCTCACGCCACCCTCCTTCTCTTCGCAGTTGTGAGTACTACGTCAATGACCCTCCTCGAATAGTCCTTGACAAGCTGGAGCGCAGAGGCTTCCGTGTGCTGAGCATGACAGGGGTGGGCCAGACGTTGGTGTGGTGCCTGCACAAGGAGTGACCCTCCCACGCTGATGAGCTGCAGTCACCCCTTCTCTGGAGTGGTTGCCATGGGCCCCGACCCCAGGACCCTGCCTCACTCACCGCCCTGCCCATTCTTCCCAAGTCGTCATTTTCCTCGGCCCAGCACCACTGGGCAATGAACGGCCTTCTCTGAAACCTGCCTCAGCCAGTGGGGGGGGCAGGGCCTCTGGGCCTGGTGCCCCCAGCTGCCCCTCCAGCTTCAGGCCTGGCACGGGCCCTGGAGGAGGCCGTGTTCTGTGGCAGGCTGAGGAGCTGGCAAGAGCCAGGCTGCCCCTGGCAGGGAGCTGGGTGCCCCTGCGGAGCATGGCTCCAGGACTGGGCGTGTGGGTCCTGCGTAGCTAGTCCAAGCCAGTAAAGGGCTGTGATGAGTGGCTGCTCCTCTGCTCTGCTGGCCACTGACTCTCACCGTGTGGAGCGCCTCCCTGGGAGGGAGAGCCAGGCCTGGGTGGAGCCCTCCGAGGCAGAACCCAGAAACCAAGGCCACGCTTGGGCAGGCCCACACCCTACACCTATGTATGCAATAGAGGTAGACTCTAAAAAAAAAAAAAAAAAAAAGTTTATTGGTGACGTTTAAGAAAAGGGCTGTGGGATGGGAGGGCTGGAGGCAGGAGGCTACGTGGGCTGCCCAGCCTGGTCCTCCTGCTGCATCTGGGCGATCAGCTGCTGCCTCTCAGCTGCCTGGCGCATGCGCATCATGACGAGGCTCTCATAGTCCCTCTCAGACCGCACGGAACCCTGGGGGGACAGAGGGAGGACACGGAAGCGTCAGGGCACAGCCCCACGGATTCCAGACTCGGAGGACAGGGCCTAGGCAGAGCCGCCGCCAAGAGTCAAGGAGGGAGGATGCCCAGGAAGGGAAGGACCCTGGAACATCCTGCAATCCCAACTCACCCATGTTCCTTCAGAGCAAGCAGGCCTTTGGCCCCAGGCCAGCTTCTCAGCTGGCTCCCCTTCAGCCCATCTCAAGCAGCTATCACCCCGCCCCACCTCCCCTTTCCCAGGCCCTTCAAATCTACAGTCAGCTCAGGTGAATCACTTCCTCATGCTCTAGCCAGGCCCTCATCCCTTCATTTCCTCCACCCCATGGCTTCTGCTTCTCACAAGTTACCAGTGAAGGGGGGTTGTCAGAGGCACAGAAATCCACTCCACTCTGCCAGGTGGAGGCGAGAGCATTGACCCCTCCCAGCTGCCCACCCTCCCTGTGGTCTGGCTCCTGCTGAGGATGCACAGGGAGCCCTACCCTAGACACAGCCTCACTCAGCCCCAGCCTAGAAGGAGAGAGAAACAAGCATGAGGCCAGCTTGCCTCCTAAAAATACACACTAGGGCTCCTGGAGGGCAGGGCCCGTGGCTTTTTCTTTTATGATCTTGCCCGCACAGTGTGGGGGACTGAACGGTGCAATATTTTCATAATCAAAAGAATAATAAATGACCACCTCAGTGGGCCAAAGCTGTGGGGTGGAGAGGCAGCTCTACAGGAGAGCCCTGAGCCGCCAACGCCATGCCCTGATAAGGTCTGCAGTGGCACTTAAATCACTTCCTCCCTCTGTGCAGCTGAAGCTGCATGAAGAAGTATGAAGCCCACCAGAGTTGGCACAGAAGGGAGCCAGGCCAGGGGGGCTGCACAGTAGAGAGCTGCTGAGACCTGCTTCGCAGTACCCCGAGCTGATGCACCTTCTTGGAACAGGCCAGGAAAAAAGTTCGGTGGTCAGTGACCCGGGGAATTAGAAGGGAGTGGCTGGGGTTAAGATGCCAGGCCCTGGCCAACTGGTTTGGAGTCAGGGGTGTACAGAACCAGGAAGTGTTACCCAGCCCAGATCCCCCTGCCCTTCCCGACAGCCCCATGCCTCCTTCCTCCCAGGCCTCCGCGGTTCCTAGGAGAATTGCACTCCCAGCCAGGCCCACCTCCTAGCTTTGACCCAGCCCCTTCCCCAGAGGCAGGACCCCAAATGAGGCCCAGGCAGCCCCCCAGGAAGGCAGGACACTGGCTCTCAAATGTCCTTTCCTGCCCTGAGGCTATCTGGGAAAATCGAGGAAGGCTGAGGAAATGGAGCAGCCAGGCTTGCTGTCAGGCCAAGGGGAGGGCAATTCCTCCCCCCCCCCCCCGCCCCCCGCCCAAGGTAATGCTGCTCTGCTGAGAAAACTTGAAGTCACCCTCGGCACGCCCCGAGCCTGGCCCTGGGAGGAGCCAGCCATTTATAGGCACAGGGCTGCTTCCCGTTAACACACCCTCTGCCTCCTTCCTTCCCCCCATCCCTGCAGGCTCTGCTAATGAGGGCCGGTCACTCACACCAGCGACAGGCCTCTTCCTTCCCCAGCAGTCATTCCACACACCTGCCTTTCAATTAGCTCCCACCTCCCGGAGGTCCTCACCCCACACCCACGGGGGCTGGGGGGCCAGGCCTGCCCGCAAGGGCGCAGGGCGTTGGGCTGTGGAGGAAGAGGCGGCAGCGTGGTGACACACAAAGCAGGGCTGCCCCAGACGGTCCCCAGAGGAATGTTAGGCTCCCCGGTGCCCCGGGGCGTTGCCGCTGCCCCAATCCCTGCCTGCGGAAGCTGCAATTACCTCAGAGCACGAGACCAGCCTCCCACCTGACTGAGTCAGCCGAAGACAACAACACGTCTCCACCGCCACACACTGGCACAAACAGCCAAGCCACTGATCAGTCTGGGAGCCAGCGGCGGAGAGACCAGCCCCCGCAGGGCCAGGAGCCACCCCGGGTCGCGCCGCAGCTGCCCTCGCTCCGGCTCCACGGAGTGGAGTGCTGTTTCTTCCTCCTGGGGTTTTTCCACTGCCCTATCAAGTAACCAGGCCACTCCTGTCCCTCTGGGAACCTCCCGTCACCAGGAACGCTCAGCTTTTTCGGCTCTCCTGGACACGCGTACGAAGGTCCCTGCTGAGCAGAAACCCGGAGGCCTCTGCTTCTGCCAGCGAAGGCTGCCTCCCTGATTCTCGCTGTTCACTGCTCCAGCGGGACCAGAGGGCCCCCAGCTGCCCTTGAACCGGGCTTCTGAGGTTCCAGGCTTGTCTGCTGGCTCTCTGGGGCCCCATGGAGATCTGGCGGAAAGGCTCCTTCCGCAGCGCCTCCTTCTTCAAGCGGCTGAGCCTGCGGCGGCCGCGGAGGCTCCGGCGACAGGGCAGCGTGCTCAGCCAGGCCAGCACGGCTGGAGGGGACCACGAGGAGTACAGCAACCGGGAGGTCGTCCGGGAGCTGCGAGGGAGGCCAGATGGCCGGCGCCTGCCACTGTGGGGGGACGAGCAGCCCCGGGCCACCCTGCTGGCCCCGCCCAAACCCCCGCGCCTCTACCGAGAAAGCTCCAGCTGCCCCAACATCCTGGAGTCCCCGTCCACCTACACTGCAACCTACTCTGCCACCCTGCCCTCCGCGCTCTCCCTGGCGGACGCCCTCTACCAATACTCCGACGAGGACCTTTCAGACACGCCCCCCTTCCAGAGGACACCTGCTCCAGACCTCAGTGATCCCTTCTTCTCCTTCAAAGTTGACCTAGGGATTTCGCTTCTTGAGGAAGTTCTACAGATGCTGAGGGAGCAATTTCCCAGTGAGCCCAGCTTCTGAATGGGGGGAGGGTGGGCAGAGGTGGGTGAAAGAGCCAGAAGCCTGGGGACCCAGAGAAGGAGGGGACAGTCGTGGATTAAGGTAGGGATAGGAATCCAGGTCGCTGCCTTCCCTCTGGGTCCTGAACAGTTCTCTGAGTCACCCCAGAGTCGAGGGACAGGTACAGAGGCAAGCTGGAAATGTGAGGGGGGGCACCTGCTGGCAGGAGCCCTGAAGGCAGCTAGCTAGGCTGGGAAAGGGAGGCCACACCTGCAACCACAGGGACCAGGCAGAGGCCAGCAGAGAGGGAGGGAGGCATAAGGGGTGAGTCCAGGAGCAGAGGACGTGCAGACTGGGCACGACAGATGGGTGCCCTGCGCCAGCTCCCTCTGAAGCCACTGTCAACAGAACGAGGTTACAGGACAGGTCAGGGCAAAAGTGGTCCAATCCAGGCTGGAGAGGAAAGTGGGAGACCTAAGGGGAGAGGGATGAAACAGGCGTGACCTTGTACAGTATGGTAGCCACTAGCTGCACGTGGCTGTTTAATTGAAATTAAATACAATTAAAAATTCAGCCTTCAGTCACACTAGCCACGTTTCAGGTGCTCAACAGCCACATATGACTAACGGCTACCACACTGGACAGCGCAGAGTGAATGTTAACATCATTGGAGAAAGTTCTACTGGGCAGCACAGGCCTAGACCATGGCCTGGGGCCTGGTGGGGGGAAGGGGGAAGCATATGGGGCCTGCGAGGGAAGGGAGGGGCTGACAGAGTAGGAAGAGTGAGGCAGGTAGAGATACACAGTGTAACTCTGGAAAAACGCCAAACAAATCACTAGCGGAAAAGGGGGCATGAGAGACTCAAAGTGCCAGTACAGCTGCCCGGAGCACGAGCACTCCCTGGTGCCCAAGGAAGGAGGCTCTAGGGAATGCCAGGCACAGACAGCTTGCGAAAGGGGGCTGTGGGGAATTCCCAGAATTATTAGTGACGGGAGCCCTTCGGAAATGCAACAAAAAACAGTGGCAGGTTTCCCTCCTTCCTGCGCCCATGGGAATATGGGAGGGAGGACTGGATCAGGGACAGACACGAAGGTCAGAGCTGTCACAATGAAGAGGCAAGCTGGTCTCCAGAATCCTCACCAGGACTGAGGAACTTTGCTTTGCTCAAAACCTCTGACAACGGGGCTACGACCCCACCCTGAGGCCTGGCCAGAAGACTTGGAGCAGAGCCCAGTTGGCTGCATGAGCTTCTGACACCCCAGGCCTTTCCAGGTGTGGCAGAGGGGGAAGGGAAGCCTGGACACACAGCACCTCCACAACCCAAACCTGTGGCCTCCCCCTTCCCTCCTCTTGTGTGGCTGTGCTGAACTGAAAGCCCCCGTGGGATGGTGATAAAGAGAGCTCTTTGTAACACAGCCTGTGGAGTGCCGTCTGGGGCTCTGAAATGCTGGGCCTTAACCGTGGGGAAACAGTCTCTAAAGAAGGATCCCAAGTCAAGCTCAGACCAGGTCCTTTGCCTCCTCTGTCCAGGGTCTGGGACACACTCCAGAGAGCTCCCCATCCTCACGGCCAGGTGAGGGGCGTGGTGGCGGGGTGCCTGAGGCAATGGGAGTGGAGCCGCGAGGACTAAGAGCCGGTGTTGGGCGTGTGTCAGCTCAAGTGCATGCTTTACCACAAGTCGGGCACCAGGCAGCACCTCAGTGTCGGCAGGGTAGTCAGTGTTATTTCTAAAGAGGAGATATTGCCTCTTGATATTAGGTCCCCATCTGGGACAGCCATGGACACACCTGGAAGGAAGCTGGGGAAGGAAGCAGCCACCCTCATCACCGGCCCCTTCCCTGAAGCACCAGGTCATCTCAGCGCCAAATGCTTCACACTGCAACCAAGCGACCCGCAGGCCAGGACAATGTCTTTGGGTGATGATGAGAGACCCCAAAGGGGACCAGAACATGGAAAATAAGGTCTAAGAGGTCTGCATAGGGTGGGCCCCGCTGGCACTCAGAGAGGAAAGGGGATCAGCAAGGAATCACAGTCCTCCTGCTTGGATTGGTGGTCCTGCCAATCTCTCCATATTCCTGATGACTGGGATTTGCGAGGAAAGGGCCCTGAGAAGAGCCCAAACAGGAAGAGGCGCCCCGAAGCCTGAGCAGGCCCAGCTGCGTGAGGCCTGGCTTCTTACCTGGGACAGTCCTGGGTGGTTAGGGCCCATTGTGCTCTGGGGCCGTCCCTCCAACCAGGAAATCTTCAGAGGGTTATCGACTAGGCCCACTTCATTCTGGACAGCCAGCTCCTGTCAAATACAGTATCCGGTCCTGGTCCCATCACTCCAGTCGGCTACAAAGTGGCTCTCGCTACCCCCACAGAAAGAACCAGAACCAGCGCTCTCATCCTCCAAGCAAAGCACAGCAAACTTCATACAATGGTGTGCTGAAGCTCTGACCTTCCTTGTGTGCCACGTGAGCTTTCTGACTGGGGAGTGGGGGAAGGGGAGAAGGCAGTGCGAGGGCTCCAACCTGGAGGCGTGCTGGCTTCCAGGGGAAGGTGGAGGGTGTGGAGCCAGGCAGCAGGAAATGAAGCCATCCCCGGAATATTCTCCTGTCCATCCCTTCACTCACTGTGCCTCTACTCCTGGGAGCTGGAGGGGCTCTGGGAAATCTTGGCTCTGAGCTGGCCCAGAGATCCCCTGGGAGTGTGGACACCTAAGCTCAGAGGGCCTACAGAACTGGATTCCTCCCCTGGAAAGGCAGGGCTGTCGGTAGCCCCCAAAGCCCCACATAGCACTCACCGCAGCCTTGATGGTTGCAAACTCCACCACGGCGGTGCCTGCCTTCTTACTGGACAGTACCAGGTTGAGCACCTCTCCATACTGTGAGGATAAGGGGGTCCCGGTAAGCGTGGCTCAGCCTTCAGGATGGCCCAGCTCACACCAGAGACAAGCCTGAGCCACCCAGAGGCCACTAGGCCATTTTTAGCCGGGGTATAACCTCTCATTGCTAGGTTCAACCAGAAAGGGGATATCAGAGATGGGAAAGAAAGGTTCCCCTGCCCCTCGGGAATGCAGAGGACAGCAAAGGAGAGCTTGGCAGACGTGGGAATTTAGACCAGCAGAGACGCACAGCTGCCTCAGCAACTGAAGGAGGTGAAGAGGATGGGGCTTTGGTGCCAGACAATAGCCTCCTCTCGCCCCACAAACGCAGCCAAGCCCTTTGCTTCTAAGGATGGCAAGGGAAGGGGCACATGGCAACATGAGTGACTGGAAGGCCGTGGCCTGGGGAGAAGGTCTATGACACAGAAAAAAAGGCAGGTAGAGATGGGAAGGAAGGTTAGGCCTGGAGATCCTGGGGTTTGGGCTGAGGTGGGGCCTGAGATGATGGGTTAGGGGGAAGTCAGCAGGGCAGACCTTTTGAAAAAGCCGCAGGAGGACATCTCTGGAATAGCCGCCTTGTGACTTGGCCTCCTTGCTCTTCCACTTGAGCTGAAAAGACAGCAGTGGGTGTCACCATTAAACACTGACTTCTCAACAGAACCAGACCCTGCACCTGAGCTTTACAGTCTGAGCAGACACCCCCCTTCAAAGTACTGGTAATCTAAGGAGCACCCCCGCAAATGCATTCCCCTTGAAAACAGACAGGCAGGTGGCCTGCTCACCCACAGCTACGCTTCCAGCCCTATAAGATGCTCTCCTTCGAGGGCCTCAGGGAGGGCTGCGCTGCAGCCTTTCACGGCCAGCTCTGAGAGGCCATCCTGATGCCCAGGCAGTGGGAAGATGGAAGGATGGGATGTGGGTAGTGGTGTGGCTCCCAGAGATCCAGCGTCCCCGCCAGAAGCACCTGTGCCCATGGAAGCATCTGTTCTGCTGAGAGGAGATGGTGTGAGGTGGCCCGTAGATCCGCAGGGCTCACCTTTAGCTTGGGGGTTCCTTTGCTTTCAGGATTTTCTGCCATTCCTAGAAAATTTAGGAAAATTAGCAAGGTAGAATATGATGGAATCAGAGGTTCTCTCTCCCAAAGGAGACACAGCCCAGGGCCAAAGGACCTAGAAAAGATCACTCCTGACCAAGGGCAGTATTTGCCCCGCCCTGCTGTGGAGCCTGGTAGGGCAAGTAGAGGCAATCCCACCCCAACCCTGAGGAGCTGTCACCTTGGGACAGCTGCCCAGCTGCCTGCTGAAGGCCATGGTCAGCACTCTGCCAATGAAGGGCTATGAACACCTACGGGGGGCAGAAGGTAGAGGTATAGACCACACAATTCTACTGAAACAAAGTACCCCAGAGCCTTCCCCGCCCCGCCCTGGTGATCTGCTCCAAAATAGAGCCAGCTCTGCTTGGGACTAAGATAAATGGGGCCAGGAGATCGCAGGTAGAGTGAAAATCCAATAGGCCTCAGAGAACTGGTAAGAAGAGACAGGTGGCATGTGTCCAAGTGGGGTGCCCAGGGGGTTCCAGCAGGTGGAAGCTTCCAGAACAACTTCCCTGAGCAGCCACTGTGGCCACTCTGGGCATCAAGAGCTGCCTCAGAGTGGGAGGCAGGTTTGGGGGACGGACTCTCACCTCTCAACCTCTGTTCCCGTTCCTGGCGTATCTGCTCCTGGATCACCCTCTGCTGCTCCTCCAGCTGCCGGGAACCCTCTTCTCGCAGGCGTCTGATCTGCAGAGTGGGAGTTGGGGAGGGTGACAGTTCTGTGCAGATCCAGTTCCAGGTTGGCTCACCTTGCAAAGGTCCCTGGGACATTCCACCTGCAAGCTAGGCTCAGCAACCTGCAGGTGGGACAGATCACCCAGATCCCACAGAAGAAAGTGGAAATGGCATGCCCTCTCCAGCCACAGCAACCCCTTTGCTCCACCAGCCTCCTCCCCCTGCAGATGGCTGCAGTGCCTGGACGCTCACCTCTTGCTCTAGTGTCCCGGTGCTCCGGCTCTCCTCCTCCTCCTCCTCGTCGCTGCCGTGGGCCTGGGCCTGCCGCTCCCGGGCCTCCAGGTCTACGAACAAGGGTTGAATGACCCAATGTCTGGTCTAAGCAGTTTCTACATGGCCCCAGCCTACCAGGCTCTGGCTGCTTCCCCAAAGTCTCACACAGCATGAACCTATACAGTAACTCTGGCCCCTCCCTCAATGCCTATGTGCTCCCAAATTAATTTCCATTGAGAAAAGTCCTAACAAGGAAGAGAATAGGATCCAGCTGAGTGGCCGGGGTCTGGAAAAGTTAAAGCAGCTCACGCTGACTAAGCTGGTTCTCCAAACAGTGAACAAGGTGTGGGTGGGTGCTTCTGTCAGCAGCCCAGGGCCATGGGTCAGGGCTGCCAGTGGGTGGAGCTCCTGGCCTCTGTTCCTGTGGTTTGGCACCACAGCCTGACCTGCGACCTTGCCATGGCTTTGATGCTCTTCCCACCACTGAGCTTGAGTTCCCACAGAATCTTCTTTTTTTTTGGCTGCATTGGGTCTTCGTTGCTGCGCGCAGGCATTCTCTAGTTGTGGCGAGCAGGGGCTACTCTTCGTTGCAGTGCGCGGGCTTCTCATTGCGGTGGCTTCTCATGTTGCGGAGCACGGGCTCTAGGTGTGTGGGCTTCGGTAGTTGTGGCTTGCGGGCTCTAGAGCGCAGGCTCAGTAGTTGTGACGCACGGGCTTTGTTGCTCCACGGCATGTGGGATCTTCCTGGACTAGGGATTGAACCCGTGTCCCCTGCATTGGCAGACGGATTCTTAACCACCGCACCACCAGGGAAGTCTCACGGTGGAATCTTCTACCTCCCCCCTCAACTCACATTTACCAAGCCTCACTGTGGACCCGGCTACAACGGCTCCTACAGGGATGGCAGCCACCATGCAAGGACATCACCCCAGCTCCTGGAGCCTTCCCACCTTCCAAGAGAAACCTGCTTGTGGCCCTGTCCCAGGCCAGCTGCTGTGACAAATGCTTCTTTCAGGTCTGGGACACACCACTTTGTTTTCTGTTCACTTTACTTACCTAAACTCTTCAGGTTTGTTTGTTTTTGATGGATGTACTGGGATGGTATATGTACATAATAAATATATGGATGTGAAGCAGGCAAGAGGAAGGGGAGAAAAATCGAGTAAAGCATGCTTGGACCAATCTTACGGGGGTGATGAAAATGTTCTAAAATTGATTTAGAGTCATAGTTGCACCATTTGGTAAATTTACTAAAAATCACTGAATTGTTCACTTGAAATGGGTGGACGATATGATATACAAAACATATGTCAATAAAGCTGTTTCTTAAAAGACAAACGCCTGGATCTCTTTGGATTCTTCTGAGAGGATTTCACGGAGTGAAAGCTCTGTGCAGAGCTGGGACAAATGAAAAAGATCCAGGACGGCATGGCCAACAAGAACGCTGACTGTACTCATGCTGTGTGGGTTCAAATCCTGGCTCCAGCAAGTTCTTATCCTTTTGGTGCCTTAGCCTCTTTTGTCTATAAAAAGTGGGTTTCATAACACCCAGCTCCTTGGATAGTTGTAATAATTAAAGGAGGCACTAAAACATCTGTCACAGCGCTTAGCTAATAGCACACCTAGTCACTGTTATTATTCCTATGACTGTCCTTTAGGAGCCGCCCCTGAGAACAGGGTTCTGCCCAGAGCCGGGGCCGCCAAGCTCTGAGTTGCTGGAACTGAAGCTGCAGGAGGAAAGGTGGGGGAGCTGCAGGAAAGCGGTCCAGGGAAACTGCAGGCTACCAGCACCATGATGTCACCTACCAAGCTTCACTTTCTTCCTTCTCTCATCAAGTTTCTGGGTCCTCTCTGCTGCCTGCTTCTTGGCTTTCCTGACCCTGTCATATGCAGCCTGGCAGAAGAAAGGAACACGGAGGAGCAGTCAGCCAGGGAACACACACAGAGCCCAGCCACCTCCCCGGCCCTGCCGCTAGCCCTAGAACCATCAGGAGGCAGTCTGGTGACAGGGTCTCCAGGCTAGGACAGCAAGGACTGTGATGCATGGCCAAGTATAGAGGATGAAGCACACAGTGGTCTATAAATATGGAGTAATTTAGATAGAGAAGGATGAGCTTACCCTGGCGGCAGCATCAGTCAGTACCTCCAAGGCCTGAGAAAGCTGATGGAAGAGTTCAACTAAACATAGGGATCAAAAAAGAGAGGGGAGAAAAGTAAAGTTAGACTTGATGATGGTGTACTCCCTCAAAAGAGCACCTCAAAGAAGCCACAGGCTGCTAGAAAAGCAGACATCAGCAGATGATGGACTAGCAAGGAAGGGTGAGTGCATCAGCAATTGACCAGATGCTCCTAACATGCAAAGTGCAGCCTTGGGGCCCAGCGCCCAAAGCCAGGCTGTGTGCGTTGGCCTCCCACGGCACTCACACCACACCCAGGTGGGTTGGCCTCCTTCTCCCCATGCCTAGGAGAGGCTCACCTGCTCTGGGATTATCCGGATTTTTGTCTGGGTGGCAGGAGAGGGCCTTCTGCCTATATGCCTTCTTTACCTGGAAGAGTCAAGATTTGGTTATTTACTCTCTCACCCCAGGACGGAAAGGAAAACATTGTTAAAGTGATAAGGGAAATCCAGGGAGTGCTCTCCATCGCTAAAAGAAAGGCTGCCACACTGAAACCGTCACCTCACAACCACAGAGGAGACCTGCAGTGGAGGCAAAGGCCGTGGAGGGAGCTGACCACTGCCCTGCAGCAGAGGGGCTGGGCCTACTTCCGCTGAGCACCCAGTCTTACCACTGTGGATGTCAGAGGGCTCCTGGCGGGGGGCAGATGTCCCTATAGCCACCCGGAAACAGGCACTCTCACACACTCATGGTGTCATGTAATGTAAACCAGGGCAACCTTTTGCCCTGGAGGGAAATTTAGCCATCAAAATTTAAAATGTGGTCGGTCTCGGCTCCTCGTCATGTCCTACAGTCCCTTAGATATGTACCGGAACCCGGGGGCCTCGGGGACCCCGCTCTGGGACTTCAGCAGCATCATCCAGACGTGCAGCGGCAACATCCAGAGGATCAGCCAAGCCAGAGAAATAACGTGTACCTGCTGCTAAGGACTAAGTTGTTCAGTTTCTACTTAGGAGAAGAGTCACTCAGCAATCACCTGGAAGATTTTGCTTAATTATTGTTTCTTAACAGACTTAGAGGCTATTAACACATCTGTGTTTTTGTAAGCTGCTCAGATAAAGAATTTGATGAGCCAACTAGGAACTAAGCAAGATTCAAGCAAGCTACAGGAAAATCTGCAACAGTTACAGCACTCTACAAATCAGCTTGCCAAGGAAACAAATGAATTACTGAAGGAATTAGGGTCCTTGCCCCTTCCTTCATCTACTTCAGAACAGCGCCAGCAGAAACTTCAGAAGGAACGTCTCATGAATGTCTTCTCTGCAGCCTTAAACAATTTCCAGGCTGTGCAGAGAAGGGTATCTGAAAAGGAAAAGGAGAGTATTGCCAGAGCAAGAGCTGGATCTCGTCTTTCTGTGGAGGAGAGGCAAAGAGAGGAGCAACTCGTCTCATCTGACAGCCATGAGGAGTGGAACCAGATGCAGAGCCAGGAGGATGAGGTGGCCATCACTGAACAGGATTTGGAACTTATTAAAGACAGGGAAACGGCAATTCAGCAGCTGGAGGCTGATATTTTGGATGTCAATCAGATATTTAAAGATTTGGCAATGATGATCCATGACCAAGGTGATCTCATTGACAGCATAGAAGCCAATGTGGAAAGCTCAGAGGTGCATGTAGAAAGAGCCACTGATCAGTTACAGCGAGCTGCTTACTATCAGAAAAAATCTCGCAAGAAGATCTGTATCCTGGTGCTTGTCCTGTCAGTGATTATTGTAATCTTGGGACTTATTTTGTGGCTAGTTAATAAATGAAGTGATTGCCTCCGAGCCTTCTCCTGCTGAGCTGTTTTCAAGGGCAAGTGCTTGCTGGAGTCTTGCCAGAACAAACTGATCACAAGAAGACAGAATACACCAGAATGTCCTGTAATAATTTAGTTAGAAACTAACTACTAACTAGTCCTTGGAATTAGTGACCTGTGGAGACAGTATTTATCAATTTATGTATACATTTTATTGATTTCTCAAATTAAGAATTAATTTATGTGGATTTTGCTTTCTCTTATATTCTGATTGCCCTTCGTCCCAAGTGTTTACTGAAAATTACATTCTAGATATTCTTGTTTTGGTAGGTAACACTATAGTCTTGTAATACTGTCTTTCTATGTACATACAAGATTTACCTTTTTACTAGCAACTGAGATAGAATTACTTTCTGTCACCCAGCATATTGGAGTCTGTCAGAAACTGTATAATAAGCCAGCAATTTTTATTATTTAATATTTGTTTGAATTTCTAAGAAGCCTGCCCCCTATATGCTTTGAAAGGTTTTGGCAATGTATTTAACTAGAGAATAAAAAATTGCACAGGTGATCCAGATTAAATAAGAAGTAACTATTTGAGCTGGTCAGCTGTTGGGGTGTGTGTTAATCTGGGTTTAAGTTTATTATCTGCTAGTGTCATCGACTGCAATTCATCCATATATACATTAAATGATCTTGTTCACTTTTTGAAGAGTTTAATTTAATTAACATTATGATTCTCTGTGGGGTTCCTCTCCCACCTGTCTGTATAGAAGGGGAGAATTAGACAAAGCGTTCTTCTGGAGAGCAAATAGGAATTGTTTGGAATGATTTAATCTTTTGTTGTTGTTGCTCAGTTGTGGTTCTGCATTCCTGGTAAATGATGAATGTTGCCATCAAAAGGCTGCCCCCTACACTAATAAGGTTTGCTGGGCATTTGATGGCAGGAAGATTTTAAAAGCTAGACTGAAGTGGGTTTAAAATTTAGTCCTGTGAACCTGGCGATAAAGCAAAGGTTCTTTTTTGTAAATAATACTGGTTTGGAATAGTGATGTTAGACTTATCCTAATTTGTGAACAAGAGATTAATCTCTCCATGCATAGTTTTAGACAAAACTGTTTCAATAAAAGATTGCTGTCTTGTAACATAAAAAAAAAAATTTAAATGTACTTTCCCTTTGACTTACTCTGGAATTTGGACTTGTAGAAGCATGCCAAAATAAATATGCAAGGATGTCCACTAAAACATAGTTTATATTAGCCCCAAAGTGGAGCCAACCAAAATCTCCAACAACGGAGACCCATTAAAAAAATTACCATAGACTGAAGTCTGTATGTGCTTTCTAGAAAGATCTTCAAGTCCTCATCACAAGAAAAAAAAATCATAACAATGTATGGTAACAAATAGCAAAGCATTATGTTGTACAAAACGTGCCAATTATACCTCAACTTAAGAAAAAGAAAGAAATATCTTCAAGGTATGGTGCATGAAAAAAACAAGGCTTAGTATATACAATGATCATTTTGGGGTTGAAAATAAGAAAATAAAAGAAATGTAAATAGTTAGAGACACTCGAGCATGTGCACAGCCCTTGTTTTCTCTTCTTTCCTCAAAGCAATCATAAACTTGTGGTTTCCTTTGGAAAGAAGCTGAAAGTGGAGGGGAAGGAAACATTTACTTCTCATTTTATACTTTTCTGTAGTTCAAATTTTCAAACCTTAAACACGTCTTACTTTATTATCTTTTTTATTGATAACAGGGGTTATCCTGGTGGCAAGGCTATGGTCCTTTTTTAGTTTTTATCTTTGCACCTCTCTGTATTAAAAAGAAAATGTTTTATTTCTTATATTAGTAAAAATTAGCAAAAATAAGCAAACATAGCCACCAAGATTCTCTTTTATATATTCCCCACACATAAGGGAAGGCAGAGCACAAAATCCCAGAAGCTACCCTCTGCTTCCTGAGGCCTTGCTCTCAGTTCTGCCTGCACACCTTACCTACTGCTCAAACCTCCTGGGAGGAGGAGCCTCTAGACCAGAACCTCTACCAGCAGCTAAGAAGACTGGCTTCCCAGGCTTCCCAGAGGGAACCAATAAACACTTCTATCCAAAGTGTGCTAAATAAGGGGCTTCGAGGCAAGCAGCCAGCACCCCCAGGGGAGGGCCTGCGAGCAGGTGCCTAACTCTACTCCCACCTCCAGAGCTAAGGAGGGCCAGGAGCCACCTAGCCCAGGACCTCTGGGGTGTGCTGCCGCCTGCTGGGCCACGCCTAGAAACACACCTTCACCTGGCAGGGCAACCAACCCATCTAGCTCTCCTGGCTGAGCCTGAGGAAGCAGGAACCACTCCCAGGACAGGCTTTGAGCAGAGAGGGTGTAGATGTGCTTCCCTGCTCCCCAACCTTCCCAACTGCCCGCCTATGTTCACCTCCCACCCCAACTTAGGTCTTCACCATTAAAAAGAAATGACAACAATAACAAAATCTAGCTTTTTTCACTATTAAGAAATAATAATAAGGGAAGGGGAGGTGATAGTTTTATATATAGTCTAACACTTGGAATGTCATCTTTACTCTTTTTTTTTTTTTTTGCGGTACGCGGGCCTCACTGTTGTGGCCTCTCCCGTTGCGGAGCACAGGCTCCAGACGCGCAGGCTCAGCAGCCATGGCTCACGGGCCCAGCCGCTCCGCGGCACGTGGGATCTTCCCGGACCGGGGCACGAACCCATGGTCCCCTGCATCGGCAGGCAGACTCTCAACCACTGCGCCACCAGGGAAGCCCTTGTTTTGTGTTTTATAATTCATTTTATATGTTCTATATCAGAAGATTGGTTTTTTTTTTCACTTAAACAGGAAAACAAAACTGTTCAAACAAAAAACTAATTATATAATAATGGGAAATACTCTACATATATTAATTTGCTTCCTTATCAATTCTCTTTCCAGAATGTGTTCCTTTGACATATGTCTTTAACTGTCTCAACAAACTTTATTTGAAGCAATAGTACAACTGGACCTAGGTCACCTCACTCCCTGTCTGGGTGGACCCCCATCTTACCCCCACCCCTCCAGCCTCCCACACTCCCAACATCTACAACCAAACACAAGTGCCCCAATCAATTTGATGTATCCTGGACCCCTATTCCCTCAAGGCCTGACTGGGCCTCCATTTCCAAATCACCCTTTAAAGGTGTAAGGGGTTGAACATTCTGTGTTTCAAGAACCTATTGGAAAAATTTACCAGTCTCATGAGTAGGGGGAGAGGTGAGGCCAGAAAGTCAAGGTCAGGCTGGTATTCATTTTTAGAGAGGAATGTCTAAGGGTAGGAGGGGAGCTCTCCTACAGCCCTTCAGTACAGCACCGAATCTACCCTACCTCCCAGGTCCACTCATGGAGCAGCTAGGATATGGAGGGGCTGAGCTGGAGCTGGGGATACAGAGGAAAATCAGGAATTTCCCTGACACTGAAGAGGAAGGACACTGCTTAGCAAGGAAGATGGCTATGAAAACAATGAATTACACTGAGGTTGTAAGATGCCTGTAAGAGAGGGCCCTAAGAATGGAAACAAAGAGAAAAGAATGGCTAATTTTAGCCCTGAGGGCCTCACAGAGGAGGCAATATCTGAGCTGGATCTGAAAGGTGAGTAACAGTTCTCCAAGCAGGGCCAGAAAGGGTATTCAAGACAGAGGATGTGGAACAGCCCAACTTCTCTTCAAGCCCCAGACAAGCTTAGAGAAGAAATATGTTTTCCTTTACTGAGGAATAAGTACTGAGAACAGAAAAAGACATGAAAAAGGAGAGACATGGTTGCAATAAAACATGGGAATAAAAATAATGTTTTTGTCAAAGAATATTTTGGTTAATTAAAAAAAAAAATTCAACCAAAGAAAAGTAACAGAAGAAAACCAGGAAAAGAATAAATTCATACCAACAAGTTTTAACACACAAACTTGGGGTGAAGAAATGCTAGGGAATGAGAGCATACATGTAGGCAAAGAAATGCAAACTGGGCTGAGAAGAGGAGAAAAAGATTAAAGTTAACTCAGGTATGATACTGAAAGTACAAGAAAGTTAACGTGATTCATAAGGTATGTGTAATTCATAAAACACAGAGTAGAACAATTAGAAGGGAAAGCCCCACAGTGCATATGAGCAGGGCGAGATGTGGAGAGCCTTCTGAGTTCAAAAGTAATGAACCAGGATGAATGACTGAGGAGGCATTTGGGGTCTCCAAGCCCAAAGAACTTGAACCTCAAAGTTCTCTGTGACCTAATCAAAGTTTATTGTAAAGCACAAAGGCAAGATTAATGGAACATATAAGCATGGCCAAGAAACAAATAGTAATAAATGTAAAAATTCAATGTATAGTAAAAAGTATTACTAAAATCCAATACACTGAGTGAAAAAAAAAAGGTTTTAGCTCTTCATCTCAAACCCTATACCAAAATAATTCCAGATAGATAAAAAAACTAAATACAAAAAAAGAAACTAAAAGAACCTAAAGAAAGAAAATGATGGTAAAGAAAGAAAATGATGGGACTTTTAATCTGCTTTTAGGATGGGGAAGAAATTCCTAAGCATTAAAACAAGGGAAGGAATCACGCATGCACACACACATGCATACTTACACAAAATGAATGAATTTACAAATGAAAAAATTTTAATTTCTCTAAGTAAAAAATCATAGACAAAATTAAAAGATGAGGGATATGATAACAGAGAGAAGTATGTGCATGAAATATGACACACAACACAGTCTTCACTATGCAAAGAAATCATGCAGAAAAAGACAAGCAAGAAAAAGACAAACTACAAGAAAACAGAAAGAACATGAAGAAACAATTCATAGAATATAAATGGTTAATAACAAGAAAAATGTGCACAGCAAAGGAAACAATAAACAAAATGAAAAGAAAACCCTCAGAATGGGAGAAAATATTTGCAAATGAAGCAACTGACAAGGGATTAATCTCCAAAATATACAAACAGCTCATGCAGCTCAATATCAAAAAAACAAATGACCCAATCAAAAAACGGGCAGAAGACCTAAATAGACATTTCTCCAAAGAAGACATACAGATAGCCAACAAACACATGAAAAAATGCTCAGCATCACTAGTTATTAGAGAAATGCAAATCAAAACTACAATGAGGTATCACCTCACATTGGTCAAAATGGCCATCATAAAAAAATCTACAAACGATAAATGCTGGAGAGGGTGTGGAGAAAAGGGAACCCTCCTACACTGTT